GGCATCGTCGGGCAGTGCCCCCCGAAAGCGCAGGGACTGCTCTGCCTCCGAGAGCCACTCCAGCAGCATGTGCACGGCCGTCCGGAACTCCTCTGCCTGCGGAGACAAAAGCACAGGCGTGAGCCCTCCTCCTCCCGGAACAGGCCACTCCGTTCACCGCCGAGAGCTGGAGACACAAAGGGCTGAAAGGGACTTTAAAACCAAATTAAAACAGGGGATTTTAATCAAGGAGATCAGTCCCCGGCCAAAACCTCTTCTCTTGAGGTTTGTGTTGACCTCCCGGGACAAACCTGCAGCCCCAGCAAAGCTCTCTGGGACTGTTCCCAGCCCCAATCTTCTGCTCACCTGCTTCAAGGCCTGTTCCAGACGGGTTTGTTTGGATACGGACAACTTGCACACCGTGTCCCACCGGTTGCTCAGTTCCTGCAGCTGCACCTTCACCCAGGTCGTGTCATCCCGGCTGTTCTCAATGAGCTCCCGGCCGGAGCGCTTGAGCACCTGGACCGTCCCCGTGCGCTTCCCCAGCTCCTTCTGGAAGACCTGGATGGAGAAAGGGAAGATGATGAGTGGGGCCAGTCAGTCCCAGTTGGTTGTGAAGGGGCAAAAAAACAGGGGCACATCTGAAATAGTCTGTAACATGGGGTTTGCACCCACACCAGGGATCCACCACAACCTGGTGTGATGGCAGGGCGGGTGCGCAGGGAGCTCGACAGTGCTCAGCACATTTTGGTGAAAGTGCACATGGGCAGGAGCCCCAACTTTCCACCCTGGCAGAAGCGGTCGTGATATGGAGCGGGCCAGCTCCAGCCCAGGAGCTCTGGCTGCAAAGGCAGCAGCTGCCTTGAACGGAAGCCCAAGCCCTGTCCAGGGATTTCAGCATATGACCTCATCCAAACTCGGGAGCACCAGTCTCTAAGACATGCCGGAAAGAACTGCCAAGACCAAAGTTTATAGAGGACTAGAAATTCAGCCACCTTTTCAAAACTAAACCCTCCACAGATCTGTCTGACAGTGTCTTGGAAGAACAGAGCTCCAGCTTCTGTACCCTTCCCAGTAATGCCAAAGTTTCTTCCCACTTATTCGCCCTGGTTTTGCTCTCCTTGTCCACCGCAGCAAAGCAAAGCGGCGAGACATGTGGCTCTGCAGCAAGGCACCAGCTCCAGCTCCTCTGTTCTTTGGCTCTTGGGGAAGACGAGCCCCACTCACATCCCAGAAAAGAGCTGGAAAAGGTGCTCTCACCTTGTGAGCATCCATCAGGTTCATGACCAGATCCAGGTCACCGTGGACAGGCTGGTCTTCAGCCAACTGGGGTTCCACCTTGTAGAGCCAGTCCACCAAAGCCTGCAGCGCATCCATGAACTGGCCAGAGAACAAGAGGGCTTCTTCCAGCTTGTGCTGCCTGAAAAACAAACACCTCCGTGGACTTCCATGAATAAACTCGTCTCCATTTGTCATGTGCCAGTGACTTCCACCCCATGAAACCCCCTCCCCTTCTCTGCTCTCCACTTTGGTAAGAATCCTCGGCAAACGACCCTGTTGGTACAATGTTGGGGCTGGACTTACCTTTCCACGGATTTGCCGCACACCGTGTCCCACTTATCCCGGACTTCTCCCAGTAAATTGTCCAGCTTTTGAGTGTCATCTGCAAGCAAGGCTTTTTCTTTGAGGGCTCTGCCTGTTCTGATGGTGGTGTCGTAGACGGGCTGCTTGCCCCCCAGTGTCTTCTGGAACTCCTGGGAACCGGAGACAAAACAAAACTGCTTCAGAAAGCCTGGCCTTGACTTTCTGAAGACACATGGTGCTTGTGAAGATCCCCAGTTGAACGTTCTCCATGGCAGCAGTAGGCACGGACATGCCTTTCCCCTGTCCAGATGGCAGAGGAGATGCTGCCTGGTTCCCCCTCCCAACACAGCACCATTCCACCCAGTGTCCAGCGCCCAGGTCTCACTTTGGCGAAGCTCTACCTTGTGTTTGGAGAGCTGGAGCTTGATTTTGTCGGGATCATTGGAAATCTCCAGTTCCGAGTCCAGGTGATTCTCTGCATCCTCCAGCCAATCAATCAGTTTCTTCCAAGCTTCGTGGAACTGCAAAGAAAACAGGAACAAGTCTGAAACTTAACGCTGGTGGTGTCCCCAGTCCCCTTCTGATTTTGGGACCTCCTGCCCTCCAAGGCTGGCCATACCTTGGGGTCTGTTGCACCCTTCCCATGTTTCTCACCTGTTTGGCTCGTTTCCTGGCATCATCAAGAGCCCGTCCCCGCTCCACCGAGCGCTGGACGACCTTCTCCCAGCGGGACTGGACGCTCACCAGCAGGTTCTTGATCAACACCACGTCCTGCTTTTGACTGAGGAACTTCAGCTGGTTCCCGGTTTGGTCTAGCTCGATGATCCGATCCCGATGAGCGTTCACCTCGTTGGCAAACACCTGTGAACAGCAAAGACATCCTCCTATCTGTAAGGGGAGCTGGATGTGCCTGAGAGCACGGGGCAGATGAGGTGCCACCCTTGCTCCCTCCATCCCGGGGAGCTGTCGGATGCTCACGGCACTGGTACCTTGTGCTCATCGATCTGGGCCAACACAGCGTTGAGGATGAGGCTGGCCGGGGGTGCGATGTTCAGGCTCTGCTCGGCCAACGTGAGCCAGTTGATGAAGTCCTGGAGAGAGTTCTGGAAGTCCGTGGCCAGGGCCAGCGCCTCCTCCAGCTTCGCCTGCCGCAGCGGGGAAGGAGAAAGGGAGGAGGGGAATAAAAAAACACAACATGGAGGGTGAGAGCTCACGATCTGTGGTTTTGCAGACAGAGGCAACCTTTGTGTCCCTGCCGAAACGTCCTTCTAACAGGAACCTCATTGCCTCGGCCGGGGAACGCGACTTGTTTACCAAGGGGAGGGGGTTTCAGTGAAAGCCACCGCTTTCTTTCAAAACAAGAATCGCCCCTGAAAGGGGAGACCTTCATCGGCACACGAGCAGCTGCGTCACCCTCAGCTTCCCGAGAAAAGGATCGCCATGGGGAGAGCGGCTCGGGAAATGAGGTGGATGGTATTTCGACGGTAACAGCTGCAGCACCGCAAATTTATTCTGGGCTGAGGCCACCGCGTCCCTTGTTTCATCTCATCGCCGGCCAAAAGCCGAGGACGGAATCGGCTCCGGGGAGGATTTGGCTCGCCGTCTCGCGGAGGACCAACAAAGCCTGCCTTTCAGAGCCACGCGGGGCTTCTTCCCACTTCTCCTCTAAATTAACCCCGAAGACAATTTTACTCCAATCTCCCATGTGACTTAACCAACTCTGACAACTAGAAAAAAAATCCAACAGCCTGATGCTCGGACAGCACCATGGGAAAGACAAACTCAAGCAGTGCAACCAAGAGAAATAAAAAACCCCCACCCCATCCCTCCTCTCCAGCCCTGATCCAGCCCTAATCGGCTCCATCCCTCACGGGAAAGGAGAGCAGCAAAGCACAGAGCAACTGCTGTTGGAGCAGCCCCTGGGGCAAGGCTGGACAGCATCTCAACACTACCTTTCTCTCCTCCATCTTGGTGCTGACCAGGCACCACTTCTGCTCCAGCAGCGCTACGCTCTGCTCCGTCTTCGAGCC